CACGTAGTAGGAATGGATAAAGCATGCATATATGCACAATGGAACACCAACGACAGAAATGACAACAAGCACGTTACAACTACATAGAATGAATGAGCATCACTAACATAACGCTGAACTGAAAAAGCCAATCCTGCAGGAGTGTACAATGCATAGTCACATGTAGTAACCAGTTCAGCCTCTGACAATGAAATGAACTCAGGTGTTAGAACTGAGGACACAGGTGCTCTTCGGGGAAGGGAAGATTAGTAATTGGGAAGGCGCAAAAGAAAAGCTTTGGGGTCCTAATAATATTTGGTTAAGGTTTACCTTCTAGAGAAGAGTGGAGTAGCTTTTTTGTTTGTTTCGTTTTAATCCGGGTGCTTGTTACACTAGTGAGTTCAGTGGTGTGTGGCTTGGATGGTGCACATGGAACACTATGTTAGTTACTTACCAATGAGCATTTTAAAATGGGAGCAGAGGGCAATCAAGAAGAGACTTACCAGACTGGTGCTCTGAATGGGCTCCGACAGAGCCTTGGCTGCGGCTTCTTCGTGGCCAGGGGTGTTCGGTCCAGCAGTGCTCTCCTGGGCCAGCCCCGCTGGCTGCCCACTACCTGTGCCCTTCAGCTGGTCGGCAATCCGCTGGTTTTCTTTCTCCAGCTTGATTTTGGCCAACTGTGCTTCTAGCATCCAATGTTCTCTTTCTTGCTCCAGCTTGGAAATCTTCTCCAAACTTTGCTGAACCTTGAAGAGGAACATAAGCAGCTTTGTACCTTAGAGGATGATGTAGACAAAACTAAGTGGCCAAGAAATACCTGATGGTGAACACACACACCCTCTGCGCCCCTAGAAGTATGTGCTACAAAGGATAACATTTAACCTACAGGTTAGGGAGAAGGGCCTGCTTGCCATGTCCATGCAGAAGCAAACCAAGAAGGAAAAGGAGAGAGCAAGGGACTAGGCCCCATCCTGACACACCAAGCCCCGAGGATGACATCCCTGCACGGAGCTGCTAAGGCATAGAGAGGACTGTGGCGGCGACAACAGCTCCACATGATGGCTCCTTGCTGGACCATTCTGTTACAGAGGACAATACTGGTGTTATATAAAAGCACATTTTAGTATATGCTGCT